CCATGTCCCCCCTCGTCCTTCTCTTCCTTAAACTAGACATACCCAATTCCAGCAGCCTTTCCTTATATGCTTTGGCCTCCAGTCCCCTGATCATCTTTGTTGCTCTTCTCTGTACTTTTTCTAGAGTCTCAACATCTTTTTTACATCGTGGTGACCAAAATTGGATGCAGTATTCCAAGTGTGGCCTTACTAAGGCATTGTAAAGTGTATTAATACTTCACGTGATCTGTAGAACTGATACAGTTCTACAAAGGAATTATTGAGTCTGTCGTTTGCACCTCTATAACTGTCTGGTTTGGAAGTGCAACCAAACAAGACAGACACAGACTTCAACGAATAGCTAGAACTGCTGAAAAAACAATTGCTACCAGCCTACCTTCCATTAAGAACCTGTATACTTCACGAGTCAGAAAAAGGGCTGTCAAAATATCTACAGACCCCTGGACATGAACTATTTCAACTTCTTCCATCAAGATGACGCTATAGGGCAGGCATGTCAAACTCGCGACGTCACGTGACGTCGCACAACATATCGGGCTGGTTTTGCCATTGCCGGCAATGGGGTGGGCGCGGCTTCCACGTGACACATCCGGCCCGTGGGCCAGCAGTTTGACACCCCTGCTATAGGGCATTGCACACCAGAACAATTAGACATAAGGACAGTTTTTCTGCTTAACAACTAATTCCTAAAACATTGTCAAACTACTTAGTAAAGCTGCATTACAGTACTATGATACTCCTCATCTTTCCTATTACCTATCATCTTATGTCTATAACTTTGTTGCTTAAACCATCCTAGTATGCTTTTATGCTTTGTTGCATAAACCATTCTAGTATGGTTTATGTTTTTTGCTTAGCTAGTATTTTATGACTATCACTAAGTGTTGCATCTTATGATTTATGATGAAGTGTTGTATTTTATGATTTATGCTGAATGTATTTTCATGTTGTTTATGATCATGACTATCACTATTACTTATATGTACATTGAGAGCTTATGCACCGGAGACAAATTTCTTGTATGTCCATCCACACTTGGCCAATAAAGAATTCTATTCTATTCTATTCTATTCTATTCTATTCTATTCTATTCTATTCTATTCTATTCTCATTCCATTCCATTTCATTCTTCATACTCTACTCTACTCTACTCTACTCTACACTACTCTACACTACTCTACTCTACTCTACTCCATTCCATTCCATTCCATATTTCACTTTTCCTTTGTGAACTCAGAGCAAATTTTATTGCTTTCCTTCATGCAAATACGAAGAAGCCACTTTTCATGCCCTTTGAGATCTTAGAACTTAGAATCATAGCATTGGAAGGGACCTTGGAGGTCTTCTAGTCCAATCCCCTGCCCAAGCAGGAGACCGTATACCATTCTGGAAAAATGCCTGTCCAGTCTCTTTTTAAAAACCTCCAGTGATAGAGCATCCAATACTTCTGGAAGCAAGCCATTCCACTGAATAATTGTTGTCACTTCAGGAAATGTTTCCTTACTTCTATGTTACTTCTCTCCTTGATCACTTTCTACCCATTACTTTTTGTTCTGCCCTCAGGTGCTTTGGAAAAGAAGTCAACTCTCTCGTTTCTGTGACAGCCCCTCCGACAAAGTCAATAGGAGAAACTGGATTTGCTTAACAACTGGATGATTCACTTAACATTTACGGTGATTCACTTAACAACCATAAAATTGGGCACAAGTCACTTAAGAACCACCGTGTTTAGCAACAGAAATTCTGATCCCAAATTGTGGTTCTAAGTCAAGGGCTACCACTGTCTGAAAAATCTGCCGGGCCCTGTTCTAACTAAATACATTTGAGAAGTAAAGTTTTCCTTAGCAGGCATGATAAAACAACAACACAAACCTCAAATTACATGTGAACACAGTCCTACCTTTTTTATTGTCTTCTTTCAGATGATTCTGAATGCCTTCCTTCTGGGTGAGAAGCTCTTTCACAAAATCTGGTTGTTCTTCACTTTGTTCCAACTGCTCACTAGGACCTGTGGCCATATCGCCCCCTCGGTATTCTGGCTAAGCAGATGAAAAAATAACACTCAGGCCTTTTAGTACTATTGAGATCTATTTAGTTGGCATTTTAAGGCCAACTCTACACAGTTTTGTGCATCTTAAAAATAAATAAATCCAGAGACAAGGTACAGTCATAAATTGGATGTCTTGAACACTTCAATTTTTCCTGCTATTCAGGGGAAGCTAGCAGCAACACAACATTAATTTTTGAGACTTTGGGAATGGAGATGGGTGTGCCCAGCAGCTCTAGATGGTGCTGAGTGCTGGGCAATCACCAAATGTGATTGAGTGCTGAGTGCTCTTTACATGTCATGGAAATATGTCTGCTTCGTTAGGTGTTTCTTTCCTTGACTGTGTCAGCAATGACACAATTCAGAAGCAAATGGGCACTGTGCCAATATCAGAGAAATTGTGGGAGAAAAGCCTACAGTGGTATGACTATGTTCTACAAGCAGCACACCCTACAACGTAACCTACCTTGCCTTCCATATAGATCAGGGGTGTCAAATTCAATTTCATTGAGGGCCGCATCAGCATTGCGGTTGCCCTCGGGGTGGTGGTGGATGGGTGTGGCCAGGGTGGGTGCGGCCTACTGGTTGGGCATGGATGGAGTGGGTGTGGCCTACTGGGTGGGTGTGACCATCTCTACATCGTTCGCGTCAAGGGTGCCTGTGGGGGCCTGGGCAGGAGTGGGACAGATCTGAGAGTCTCTGGCAGAAGGGGGTGGGACTGGGGCAAGCGCCAAGGCATGGTCCATTTCTTCATTCCTCACAAAGAGTGACACCTCCCCAGCATACACCCAGGGGGCGGGGCCAACGCGGCAGGGGCTGGTTCTCGCTGTTTCCAGACGGCCTTGTGGAGCTAAGACTGAATGCGTTTTAGCATAGATGGCCACCACAAAATTGTACATTGGCTCCCTCCCGGCTGGCCTGGGCCAGGGCCAAGGCAATGGGGGCCATTCCCTCACTGTTTCCAGGATGGCTTCGCGGGCCACATGAAACCACTTCGCAGGCCGCATCCGGCCCCCGGGCCTTGTGTTTGAGATGTCTGATATAGATGGCAAGCACCTGCGTGGAAGCCAAAGCAAAGATGTCAAGAGATAATAAATGTGGACGTGAAAAATGCCCAGTTGGATCCAGATGCTGAGTTTGAACATGCAAGATGGAGCTTATTGGCCCGAAAAGCACAGCCTGGACCTGCGGGAAAACACTAGGAGGAAGAGGAGGAGAAGGATAGGAATGGAAAGTCTACCATAGATGAGGGAACTGCCTAAATGGGAAACAGAAGCAAGATGGCTAGATTTTATTTATTCGTTGAGTTCAATTTATATAGCTAATCTAATTAGCTAAAGTCTTGATTGGGAGCTAAAAGTCAAAAATATCATTGATTGGGTAGAAATAGACCAAAGCAAGTTGGTTTTTGAGCAGACATTATTTTCCAACTTGCTGCTGTCCATTTTTGCAAGTTCTCTACGGAGATTCTCCAGTCACCCAGGTCATGGTTGTCCCAAAGGTGCTTTTTCAAGAGGCAACTAGACTTTCTTGTTTTTCTTTGAAGATGTTTTGCTTCTCACCCAAGAGCTGAAGAAGCTTCTTGGATGAGAAGCGAAACGTCTTCAAAGAAAAACAAGAAAATCCAGTTGCCTCTTGAAAAAGCATCCTTGGGACATTTTTGCAAGTTCCCACGTTATTTTTTTAAAAAAGAACACGAAATAAACTTTGGGCCTTGACCTTTTCCTTTTTCTCCCATTTCTTTGTGTCTTTATTCAAAAGCTAGAATTCCCTTTGAAAAGAACAGAAAGGCTTCGGAGAAGAACTTTCTCAAGTTTTTAAATAGCAATTGAGCTTCCCTCACTAGATATGCTTCATTCACACTTGGATACATAAAACCCAAGCATCTCCAGCACAGTCATCCTTAAAGCCTCCGCACAGTTTTCTAAGAATAGGGATATGAAATCTAGTATGCTGGCCCTCTTCCAGTCTGGGAAATGCCGTTCTGATTTGGCGCTCTGTCAAAACATTAATCAGGCAAGCACAGTTTAGTAAAGACGAGGCTGTTTTTTTCAACATTTAAGTCAGTGGTTCTCAACCTTTTTAATGCGGCGACCCCAGCCGGTCGTAAGTCGAGGACTAAACCGGTCGTAAGTCGAGGACTAAACCGGTCGTAAGTCGAGGACTACCCGACCGGTCGTAAGTCGAGGACTTTCCCTGCCCTGGAGCGCCGTGTATGCGTGGTTCCGCTCCCTGCGCTGGCCGAGGCGTAGCTGGCAAGCAGCAGAGACGGAGCAGGCCGACCACCAGCTGGCCCAGCCCAAGGGAGGTAAGGCACCTGCCGGAAAAGGGGGAAAAAATGGACAAAAAAAATGGTGGACAGCCTTGCTTGGCGACCCCCGTGAAATGGTCGATCGACCCCAAATGGGGTCCCAACCCACAGGTTGAGAACCACTGATTTAAGCTATGCAATAGAGGTGAATCTGAATGGCTCTTCAAAATATTTTTTTAAAATCCCACCTTTATTATTTTTATAAATAACTCAAGGTGGTGAACATACCTAATACACTAGCCCCCCCTTCCTATTTTACCCACAACAACCATCCTGTGAGGTGGGTTGGGCTGAGAGAGAGAGTGATTGGCCCAAAGTGCCTAAGACGGGACTAGAACTCCTTGTCTTCTCTTGATTGGTCCAAAAGTACTCAGCCAGCTTTCATGCCTGAGACAGGACAAGAACTTGGGTTTCCTGGTAATCGGCCCATAGTCACCCAGTGAGCTTTCACGCCTTAAGGTGCGGACTAGAATTCACAATCTTTTGGTGTCTTAATTACTAGATCAGGGGTAGGCAACCTTGGCTCTTTTATGACTTGTGGACTTCAACTCCCAGAATTCCTGAGCCAGCATCGCTGGCTCAGGAATTCTGGGAGTTGAAGTCCGCAAGTCATAAAAGAGCCAAGGTTGCCTACCCCTGCACTAGACCAAGTTAGTTTTCCATTATTATTAGTTTTTGTACTTTGCTCAAGACTAGAAAATAAGTTCCGAATTTGCAACTACACCAGGATAGGCAGTGACCCAAGTTCTCAAGAGGACCCTTCCCCAGGACCCTGTCACTCTCATTTGCTAAGGCCCTGCCATCCAATGTAAAACTGCAAATATCCCTGGGTTCTAAAAAAAAATGCATCTGGGAAGGTTCTAGTATAAAAATCATATATTAAAACTTTGGGTAAGCTGAGGAACCACATTTCTTAGTTAAAGATTAATTTAGTCCTGCAGTTTCTTAAAAAAAACATAAACATGGAAGCCTGCCCATGATTATCCATACAATGTAAATATACCAGCATGTACTCCATGCTAAATCAGAGTCTATCCAGGGGAACTGAGGCATGTATTTCTCTAGTTCCAACAGCTGAAAGAAAATTTCACTTTCCCTATACCAGTGGTTCTCAACCTTTTTAATGCCGCGACCCCCAACCGGTCGTAAGTCGAGGACTAAACCGGTCGTAAGTCGAGGACTAAACCAGTCGTAAGTCAAGGACTACCCAACCGGTCGTAAGTCAAGGACTTTCCCTGCCCGGGAGCGCTGCACATGCGTGGTTCCACCCCCTGCACCGGCCGAGGCGTAGCTGGCAAGCGGCAGAGATGGAGCAGGCCGACCACCAGCTGGCCCAGCTCAAGGGAGGTAAGGCACCCGCTGGAAAAGGGGAAAAAAATGGCGGACAGCCTTGCTTGGTGACCCCCGTGAAATGGTCGATTGACCCCAAATGGGGTCGCGACCCATAGGTTGAGAACCGCTGCCCTATACATTCAAACTAGACATGCATTTCACTCTTCTCTATTAAGGAATTTATGCCTCTCTGCATGAGTTCAGAGAATGCAAACTTTAGAGATACAGCTGAGTTTCTGTAACAAGGACTGACAATTTTTTCTAATCACTCAAAACCCCGGAGCCACAAATAAATTACTATATCTACCTGCCGTCCACAGGATGATTAGAAGTAAATCATTAATGCAACTTGCACTTTAGAGAGCTGGGAATTTTGCTGCATTTGTGCATTAACTAGAAATGACCTTCACTCACCAAAATAGAAGACTGAAAGAAACATTTTTCATTACAGGTAGTCCTTGACTTACGACCATTTGTTTAGAGACCGTTCAAAGTTACAACAGCACTGTAAAAAGTGACTTTCGACCAGTCCTCATACTTACGACTGTCACAGCATCCCCGTGGTCATATGGTCAAAATTGAGACGCTTGGCAACTGGCACATATTTACAATGGTTGCAGCATGCTGAGGTCATGTGATCACCATTTGCAACCTTCTGTGCTGGCTTCCGACAAACAAAGTCAATGGGGGAATCTGTATTCGCTTAATGACCACATGATTCACTTAACAACGGAAGCGGTTGCCTTAACAACCGTGCCAAAAAAAGTTGTAAAATTGGGCATGACACACTTAAAGGTAAGACCAATTACATTAGAGCTGTTGGATTGTAGTATTAGAGTCCAATTTACAAGCCCAGAGATCACCTGCAATACTGCACTTTAACCACTGTGGCACAGTGGTAAAAGTCCAGTATTGCAGGCAAACTCTGCCCACAGTCAAGAGTTCGATCCTTCCAAGGTCTTTGAAATGAGGATCCAGATTGTTGGGGGCAATATGCAAATCATACTTACATTGTAAACTGCTCATAGAGTGCTGTAAATGGGACTCTCCATATATAGGGACGTATATAAGACTAAATGCTTACTATGCTAATAATAATAATAATAATAATAATAATAATAATAATAATAATAATAATAATAATAATAATAATAATAATAATAATAAAGTTGGAAGGGACCTTGGAGGTCATCTAGTCCAACCCCCTGCTCAGGCAGGAAACCCTACATCATTTTGGACAAACGGCTGTCCAGTCTCTTCTTAAAAACTTCCAGTGTTGGAGCATTCACAGCTTCTGGAGGCAGGTTGTTCCACTGGTTAATTGTTCTAACTGTCAGGAAGTTTCTCTTTAGTTCTAGGTTGCTTCTCTCCTTGATCAGTTTCCACCCATTGCTTCTCGTCCTGCCTTCAGGCGCCTTGGAGAATAGCTTGACTCCCTCTTCTTTGTGGCAGCCCCTGAGATATTGGAACACTGCCGTCATGTCCCCCCTCGTCCTTCTCTTCGTTAAACTAGACATACCCAATTCCAGCAACCGTTCCTTATATGTTTTAGCCTCCAGTCCCCTAATCATCTTTGTTGCTCTTCTCTGTACTCTTTCTAGAGTCTCAGCATCTTTTTTACATTGTGGTGACCAAAACTGGATGCAGTATTCCAAGTGTGGCCTTACTAAGGCATT